AGGGACGCAATGATAGATTGCCAACTGGCAGGAATGAGAAACTGCATCAAGAAACCTATAAATTATGAAAAGATTAGGGAAATCACACAGGGCAAGGAGGAGAACCCAGCTCTCTTCAGAAACAGACTAGTAGAAGCCTTCCAGAAATATATGAACTTGGATCCGTCCTCCATGGAGGGTCGAATCTTAATAAGACAGCATTTTATAAGTCAGTCTGCTCCTGATATTCGAAGGAAGCTTCAGAAGTTACAGATGGGCCCACAGACCCCCCTAGACCAGCTCAGGGATACGGCCTTCTCAGTCTTTAACAAGAGAGATTTAGAGAAAAGAAGGAAAGGGAGAAGCAAGCTGAGCTCCTTGCACTAGCTTTTAGTAGTGCAATTGGTGGAAACCAGCCCCATCAGGGGAGCTCGGGGAGGCCTCAGATCAGGGGCAAAAGGATCAGATCTATTATAAGTGCAAGTACCCTGGATACTGGGCAAAGAACTGCACTCGAGCACCTCCGGGACCCTGTCCTCTATGCAAGGATACCAGTCCTGACCCCTGGCACTGGAAGGGAGACTGCCCCCATTCCCAGAGTGGAAAAGGGTGATCACCCAAGGCCATGGCTACTTTTGAGGACTGAGGGTACCTGGGGAAGAGGTTGGCCCCAGGGAATGCTCATATTCCCATCTCTACCGAGGAGCCCTGGGTAACTCTAGATGTGGCAGGTAGGAAAATCAACTTTCTTGTTGACACTGGGGCCACTTACTCTGTCCTTAACTCTTACTCTGGACCTCTTTCCTCCAAATCAGCTAAGGTAATGGGAGTCAAAGGATATCTTAAGACCTATTTCTGTACACTCCCTATTATTTGCCAATTTGAGAGTCAAATATTCAAACACTCCTTTTTGATTGTTCCTCAGTGCCCTATCCCTCTGTTAGGCCAGGACCTTTTAGCTCGAATGGGAACTATTTTGTTGTTCCCTGAAGAGCCACTTGAGTTAAGCAAGGTCATGATAAGCAGTAGTAGCCAAAACCAAGAAGAAATTCCAAGTTTGGTTCTGGATGCAGTAAACCCACTAGTTTGGGAGTCAGGGATTCCAGGAAGAGCAAAGACTGCATTACCGGGTAGAATCCAATTAAAGCCCAGGTCAGCTTATCCTCACAGGAGGCAATATCCTATTAAACGAGAGGCTTTGGAGGGGTTACAGCCTATCATAACTAAATTTATACAGCATGGGCTCATAGTTCCTTGTGAATCTCCTTGCAACACACCCATCTTACCAGTGATAAAACCCACCAGAGAGTATAGGCTAGTGCAAGATCTAAGGTTAGTCAATGAAGCAGTAGTTCCTTTACATCCCATAGTAGCTAACCCTTATACCTTGCTCTCACAGGTACCTGACAATGCTCAGTGGTATTCAGTGTTAGATTTGAAAGATGCCTTCTGTGTCCCCTTGCATCCTGACTCTCAGTATTTGTTTGCTTTTGAATGGACTGATCCAAAGACAATGGTGCATCAGCAATACACTTGGACTGTATTGCCACAAGGATTCAGGGACAGTCTTCACCTCTTTACTAGGGTATTAGAGAAGGATCTTAGAGAGCTACAGTTACAGGAAGGAGCCATTTTGCAATATGTAGATGATATACTAATCTGCAGCCCCTCCAAGGAGACTTCCGATCAAAATACCATCCAGACTCTGAATTTCCTAGCTGAAAGAGGATATAGGGTACCAAAGAAGAAGGCTCAGATTACCAAACAAAAAGTAAACTATTTAGGATATATTTTGACTCCTGGGTCTAGAAAATTGTCACAGGAGAGAATTAAAGCCATCATTGAGTTAACTCCACCTGCTACTAAATAGCAGCTTCGCTCCTTCTTAGGAATGGCAGGGTTCTGTAGGATTTGGATCCCCAACTTTGGAACAATTGCCAAACCTTTGTACGACGCTACTAAGGGGCCAGACACTGAACCCATTATATGGGAGAAGGAATGTGATCAGGCTTTTAATAAACCAAGCAGGCCCTAGCCGAGGCCCCAGCCTTAGGCATCCCTAACTTAAACAAGCCTTTCTCTCTATATGTAGCAGAAAGGCAAGGAATAGCCTTAGGGGTCTTAGTCCAGAGACTAGGGAATGAACCTCAACCGGTTGCATATTTCTCAAAGAAACTGGACAGTGTAGCAACTGGGTGGCCTCCGTGTTTAAGAGCACTTGCAGCCACAGCGATACTAACTGAGGAAGCTGGTAAACTAACTCTTGGTCAGAAGTTAGAGGTCTTAACCCCACACCAGGTACAAGGAGTTTTAGAAATGAAAGTGCAGCTCTGGCTAACTGGAAATAGATTGACCAAATATCAGGCCCTTCTTCTGGACAGTCCTGAAGTAACTGTAAAGACCTGTAATACCTTGAATCCAGCCTCCTTAATACCTACAGAATCATCCCCAGATTTGACCCATTCCTGCTCAGACATTATTAATCTTACTCACTCCAGCAGGACTGACTTGTTAGACCAATCGTTAGAAAATCCTGACAACGAATGGTTCACTGATGGGAGCAGCTTTGTACAGAATGGGCAGCGAAAAGCAGGATATGTCTCTTAAATGCGATAGTACTATAGGATGCACCCCATGTTATAATAATACTCATACCGGGGCTATTAACCCATTCGAAGCCCTGGCCTCTCTTTCAAATTCCAGATTCCTAGGGAATCTTTCTGAGGGAGACATTGTTAAACCTTTAAATTGGTCACATATATTATGCTACCCAAATTATGATTCTAACTGCATTCCTAATAGTACCCATTGCTGCTTTGACAAAACTCATAATGCAGATACCAATGATACTTCAAAATGTGTTAGTTGGAAATTGAACCAACCTGTTCAAGGGGTATTAGCAAAATTCCTACCACCCCCTGCAGGAAGGGAAGATCAGGAATATAATCTAGGCCCCCTTAAAAATTGCCTTTCCCCCTTGCCATTTACCCTCCTTAAAAAATATAACTCTGCTGAAGCCACAGTCATAGCAGCATCCCCAGGCCTTGTCTGGCTGTGTGGGACTCCTAGCAACTGGCTAACAGATCATTCAGAACTGCAAGAAGCTATTGCTTACACACATCTCAGCAACTCTAAACATGGAGGTGACTGTACCTTAGGGACCCTGGCACCCCAAGACCTTACTGCTATAAACATAACCCAGGGTCCTAGAAATCTGTCCCTAGGGAGAGAAAAACGAGCTTTTGGCTTTGTAGTGGCTGGAGCTGTTGCCACTACAGCTGCTGAATCCCCTGGGGGAGGTTTCGCCTACCATGAGGGCACCCTAAGGGAACTCACTAAGATTATAGAAGAAGTTTCCCAAGGTACTGCTGATGCTCTAGCTGGACTATCAAGATCAGTAGACTCACTGGCAAATGTAGTCATGGATAATCGCCTCACCCTTGACTATCTTCTGGCAGAACAAGGTGGGGTATGTGCTGTTATCAATAAAAACTGCTGCACCTATATAAATGATTCTGGAATGGTTGAAACTAACATAAGGAAAATTTATGAGCAGGCAGAGTGGCTATACAGATATAATAAACAGGGCCAAGGAACTAGGGATACCCTGACCTCCTGGTTCCCTAGTTTAACATGGCTACTACCTCTCCTAGGTCTCTTAATAACATTGTTGATATTATTACTTTTAGAACCTTGTTTGTTTAATTTACTTGTTAAACTTGTATATTCTAGACTTAAGCAGTTCCACTTCAAATTGATGATGGTCCAGGGTTTCCAACCCTTCCTGAGAATGACGTCGAAACTGACCAACATACAGTGTCTGCGATGGCCTCAGGAGTCCCTCTTCAACCTCTAGATAGAATAGGGCGAGAGTTTCATGGTTCTCGATAGGCAGGGACTACTGCCCCATATAAGCCAGAAGAAGTTACAGAAGGATGACCTTCACCCTTCAACAACACCAAAAATATTTTCGAGAACCGTGCCTCTCAAGGGGGAAGTTGAGGCAGGAGATAGTCAGGAAGGAGGAAACTCCAGAGGTGCCCCAGGAGATAAAGAACATGGATAAAGGGCGGAGACCCTGTCCTAAGTCTGGTAGTTTCTGCTTCTGGAGAAGCATTGAATCCTAGTGAATCAGGACTGCCCGTGCGCAGAAGATGCTACCTGACCTCTACTTCATTATAATGAATTAGCACTGTGGGACCCTCCTCCCAGTAGCCAGTCAAGGAAAGGAAGGCCCACCCTAAGGAATAAAAGTCCTCTAGCCCCTGAGTTCCTCCCTTTTTTTGCCTTGCTCCAGCTGCTCCTGCTGCTCCTGCTGCCCCTGCTGCTGCTGCTGCTGCTGCTGTTAGGCTCTTCTTTCTTTGCTCCACTCTGCTCAGAGTTGGCCTGTTCCCATGTTCTGTGTGGCTTAATAAATCTGCTTTTCCTCGCTTTCTGCTATAAACTCTGTGTGTTTGGTTCAATTTTTTGTCCACGATCACCAAGAACCTGGTTACCCGTGTTCACCTGTGACATTGGGACCTGTAGGTTGTGTGGATATTCCCTATGAGCAGCTATGAGGAAACAAGACCTTTTCATTCTGGAGGTTTCTACATTCAACATAGAATTGCTGAAGTGTGTGTGTTCACTGATGCATGTATTCACACTATGCCAACCCAGAGTAATAAATGATTTCATGCATGCATGTGCATGAGGACAGCTTGAGAATTTTCCTAAGTAAGAATCTTGAGAAACAATCCAAAGGTACTATAATCTCTGAAAGCCACGTGGTCTGGCACTTGCTCTGGAATTCCTGCTCCATTTATGCTAAGAAGACTGGCCCCTGGGTTAATTTGAGTAACAGGTTACTGGAGGTTTCTATTGTAAACCAGGGCTTTCTAGAAGTGAATGAGAGGGGCGGCTCACAGAAGTCCCTCTGCGGCCCAAAGTGTACCTGGAGTGACATGGCCTCAGGCTGAGCAGAAATAAAAATCGACATTAAAACCCTATTCATTTGACCGCGGCTAAGCATACCCACCTACCTGAGATCTGACTATCCAGAGATCCCACTCGTCAGGGACTCCTGTTACATCCTCCAGGCCGGCAGAGGGAGCCCAGCCGCACGGCGTAGCTGAGAGCGTCTTCGGGGTGGGGGCTTGCGCGCACTGCGCAGCCGCGGAGAGGCTCCGCCCACCGCAGTCCCCGCCGCCCACACAGGGAGGAGGTAACCGTCGCGCGCGAGGGTCTGCAGGGCAATGAGTACCGTCTCCGGCCGTTGTCGCAGGGCCCGAGTCTCCCGCCTGGTCTCCTTCAGCGCGACCCACCGGCTCCACTGGTGGGTTGTGCCCACAGTGTCAGTGGTGGGGGCGAGGCCTGGCCGGGGAAGGGCAGGCGTGCGCAGCGACGCGGGGGCAGGCTCGCGCATGCTGTTGTTCGGTGGCCCCCAGGTCTCGTGGGTGGCGTTGTAACGTGACTACTGGATTGACCAGGCTCCTGAAAAGGCCGTGAGGTGGCTGAGTAACCCGAGCCGACAGCGGAGTGAGACGGCTCTTCGACCTGAAGCAAATTCAGTGTCCCTCAGGTTCTCCTCGTTACCTCAGAGGGTTGCTGTAACGTTCACAGAGGTTAAACTTGCCCAGATTACACAGTGCCAGTCACATCGTAAACAGTAGGCTACTACTACATGCCAGGAGGTACCGTAAACAATATAAATAATTACAACATGCAGAGTTTTATCCCCCTTTTACCGAAGATAACATGAATGCAGATGTTCACTTTCCTTAGGTATCTCTGAGAGCAAGCAGCACAGTTGGAATTTGAACCCATAGCACGATGAGTGCTTGATAGCACAAAAGAATAGATTCTGAGGAGAGATTTGCCACTCATTAGTAACTTCCACCCCCTGAGCACCCGCTTCCTCGGCTGTAAAATAAGGATAATAATGTATTTCTTGGGTGCTTGTCAGATCTTGTGCTAGGTAACAGGATGCAGCAGTGATCAACGCGCACCTGTCGCTGCTTCTGTATGGAGCGTACAATCTGGTCAATGCTGTGGAACGTACAGAGATAATTTCGTGCAAAAGCTTTGTGAACTGCAGCACTCTAAACCTAACGTGCAGGAGCAGGAGAAGGTGAAGGTGGGGGAAATAATAAAAGAGGGTCTCAAAAAGAAAGGGATGGTATAACAACGCTTAAATGTATGAGGGTAGTAAGGACTCATTAAAGATGCAAAGATTGGACAGATGTGGGTATAAAAATCCATTAAACAAAGTGTTCTCTGCCTAGAGCAACAGTTAAGTATTGTAATTTTAAAATTTCCCTTGTCTGCATGCCCCCCAGTGGATCGGTGAAGTTATCAGTAGGCAGGCATAATAAAGCAAGATTGGTAAAGAAGAGACAAACAGGTAATGTAATTATTTTTCAGGAGCAATGAGATTTTAAGCCACTTAAGGATAAACATCTTTTGTTTATCATTCAGCTGTGCGTAACATGTAGTAGGTACTCAATAAATGTTTGTTGAATTGAAAAATGGAAGGACCTTGAGCAGATCAGTTTTTGGAATCTTGCTGTGGAACAAAGGGGGTTGAATTTGTTTATGCTAATTTGTATGGTATGTTAGTCTTCCTAGGGGGCATACTGTGTTTCCTGACATAAAGCTGAATAATGAAATCCAGTTGATTTATAATTCTTCATTTGGTGAGCTAAAGTATTAATGATTTGTGAAGTGTTTCAAAGGCTAGAACAAATAATAAGTGTAGGGAACAGGGAGGGTGTCTGAACTGGTCTCATGTTGACTTTTTTTTTTTTTCTGATCAGCAAATCTCTGAGTAATGAAGAAAACTTGAAACTGTTTGGGAAATGCAACAATCCAAATGGTCATGGGCACAATTACAAAGGTGAGAGGAAAATGGATGCAATTTTAGCCCTTTCAATAAGAGTGGAAGAATATTTAGCAAATATAATCTTAATGAGTAAAAAGTCTTATGGAGAGAACATAAAGCTTTGAGCCTTTAATGAGAAGTTAAATGGAAGTTCAAAATGAAAACAGCTGTTGCCTTCATTGGATGTGCCTTAACTTTTACCCTGCAATTAATTGTCTGCTCTGTTACAGATAGTCCTAAACAATGAGTGGTTTAAATAATTTTTCTTTGGCCTTAGTGTACACGAGATTCTTTTGGCACCGTGTTTCATTCTAATTAGGTGTTGCTGAGGCTAATGTTAAAATTAGATATTCTTCGAATAAGTAATCACTGACAAAAGGGGAATATTGGTTGGGAATATGCTATATGGTAGGAAGATAGGTTGGATCTAAAGCTTTGCCAGCAGTGTTCCAAGAAAGAATTTATGCAAGAGTAAGAGAGTTGATTCTTTTAGATAAAGCTGATACCTCAAAAAACAGGTGCATAAGCCATTGAGTATCACAACATATGGTATGGTGGAGTAAAACAGGAAAGGTGTCAGAAAATCAGTATTCCTCATTTAGTTACTGCTGCTTACTGATCCATTATATGATACCTCTCATTCTTAATTGTTCACTTATCATATAATATCCCATGGTGTCTGTATGGAGCTAAAAAAATATAGAGGTTATTAAATTGTAAAGCATTCTGATTATCAAGATTTTTCAAATGCTTTATACAACCACTTGTTAATTTACAAAGCATTACTGTAAACTGTATACATTCATCTAAGTACAGGGATAGAGTTTTAGCTTCCCCCCACCCCAAAAGAGTTTTATGTCCAGTGGTAGTTTTGATTCCTTAGAAAGGTACTGTCCCAAATTGGACCAGACCCATGTGTGGCTGGACTTCTTCCTGTACATTTTTTACTTTTACAGGCAGTGATTGAGCAGCATCTTGATCCTCTCTCTTGGAGATTCCTAACTAGTACATCAGCATTATAAGTAGAATTATATACTTACTGGCTTTGGCTAAGCTCCTCTGCTTAGCTAAAGCTCCTGCTAAGCTCCTCTGTCTTGGTTGACTCTTGCTTTGGTTGATAAAAAGGTCATAACTAAGAGAACAGATGTTTTGGGAAAAATATAAATACAGCTTTGTGGGGTAGAGATCTAATAATTTATGTTGCAAACTTGTGCTTGGATGTTAATCTGTTGAAAGTCATGTTGGTTTTTGATATTTTGTTTTCTTTCCCATAGTTGTGGTGACAGTACATGGAGAGGTATGTGCCGAATATATCTGTATGGTTTGTACAGATTGCTGGACCCTCTGTCTGCCAACGTGATAGATTCTATATTGAAAAATTCTGTTCAAATCAGTATTGTTTCATTGTTGTCCTTCGTTTGTGTGAGCTGCTACCATTCCAGGCCTTTCCCAAAATGTTATCTTTAATGTGCTATATGTAGACAGGTAGAAGAGTAGTACAGTGAAAAGGATGCCTGGAGCATTTGGTGTTTCCATGTTGAGACTGATGACTTTGTTGGGGATAAAGGCAAATGTGGGCACAATTTCTGCGCATTGTATAGTCTCTAATAATTTAACAGAAGTTTAAATATCATGAGCATATTGTAGTAATATTTACCTTTGTTTATTCTTTAGATTGATCCTGTTACAGGAATGGTTATGAATTTGACTGACCTCAAAGAGTGTATGGAGGTAATGACATGTTTAGTGCTTATTATGTGCTGTATAATATTTGATGGTTCCCTTTTCACTTCACCACCAGTATCGCCAGAGGTTTCATGACAGTGTGAGTCGAGTAGAGTGTGGGAGTAGGGGCATAGTTGGAGGAACTACTTTCATGCTTTTCCAATGGTGTTTGGGTGTCTTGATGGAAATGAGTCACAGTTGTATTAACAATTATGGGAATAAATGTAGCACGCTCATCTTGTATTGCTTGTTGGCATATCCTGATTTCCTGTGTTTAACACATTCTACTGTTCTTTCAAAATGCAGCTTGCTTCTTGAAGCTTTTTTTTTCCTCTAAATTTCCCTTATGACTTTGATCATAGATTTTAACTTTACCCTGTTTTATTCATTCTAGCATTATTATGAAGTCAATGGGGCAGTTCATCATAGAGATAACACAAAATTATGTGTTCAATAAAGGACTTATTAATTGTATCCTTTTAGAATTCTTTCATTGTAAGAGACCTTAGATAATATCTAAGCCAATTTATTCATGCCATAGATTGAGAGTTGCTTAGTAGTTAACTAACTTGCCCTAGGTCGTATGGTTAATCCTTTACAAAGATGGGAGTAGAGTTCCTTCAGCTTGGTTTTTTATTATGCCATCATTTCACCTGTTTATTTAGTTCTTTGCTTCAGGTCTGCTCCTTACTGTTGTTCTAAAATTTGGTATTTGTTTCATAAAATGCTGCTATTGATTGTCATTACTTCTTTCATATTACTTATCATACATATATTCAAGTTTGCCTATTTTGCATCAGTGTTTGAGCTAAGTCCTAGGGGTGCAAAGATGAATCAGACATGGCCCTTACGCACAGAGTGCTCATATTCTTTTTTTCTAGAAAGTAAAGAGTAAGTTCTCACAGGGTGAAGGGATTGAGAAATACAGATTGGTAGTTACAAAATAGTCATGGGAATATGGGAATGTAAAATACAGGAAATATAGCCAATAATATTATAACTAGGTATGGTGCCAGATGGGTTTGGAAATATCAGGGAGAACATTTTGTAAAGTATATGATTATCTAACCATTATGCTGTACATCTGAAACTAATATAAAATAATATTGAATGTAAAGTATAAGTGAAAAAAATTTTTAAATAAAAAATTGAAAAAAGAATAAGTTCTCACTAGGTTGAATACATGAATAAGAGAATGAATAAATGAACAAAGAGCACTGTGCTCAAAGTACTTTTGGAAAGCTATAAAGACAGTTTTTGCATTTATTTGGGACATAAAATATATATACACTGAGTGTTAAACAATACGAAACAACAGTATGAGAAATATGAGATCTCCCAAGCAAGCAGTATGATTAAACACACCTTTGTATAGCACTTTGGAGAACACCACACATTTCCATCAGTAAAAGTGGCTCATCATGGCATACAGAGCTGAGTTAGAAAGAGCCCTGTTGAAGAGGTTTCAATGGAAAAGTTGGGACTTGAACTGGAATTAAAGATAAAACAAAGGTGGTCATTTTACTAATATCCATGTAGATATCATTTGATCTGTTTTAAAGTTTGTTTGGTTTAGGACTTACTATTTTTATATGATTCTGGTTTTGCTCAAAAATGATTGCTATTTTTATTATTAATATAACTTTGCTGGATCATACTATATGGAAAATTAGATTGTTTAGATTTTGTACAATATAGCTAAAAGTAAATACCTAGAAAATACTTAGTTTTGTATAATATAGCTAAAAACTTAGAATAAGGCAATAACAATTCTTGCTATTCATAAGGGAAATATTATGTTAATATATATAAGCACTAGGAAACAATAGCTTTTATGTTTTATATTTTTTCTTCTAAGGGTTCAAGATTATTCTTAAATTACTTCTTATAGGACAAATTCAGAACTATTAACATAATTTCAGTCTTAGCCTGCTTTATAAAATGTAGTACTCACTGAATCTTTGTCCATTGACATTGTGGCATTGTCTTGAAGGTAAGACTGTTATGGAGAAGTATTTCTGGTAACTTTTTGGACAGAATGCAGGAAATATTAAATTGAATTCTAAATCACAGTGGCTTGTTATGAGAAAGCTCCAGTGAATTCTCTACTTTTTGGTTTCTTCTTTGCATTCAGTAACTAGGATAAGCAGCCATTATGGAGAACTTTATTTCACAATTTTAAGCTTTCTGAAAATGTTTTGTAAGACACAGGTAAAATACTTAAATGTATTGAATTAGTGGTTGATTGATAAGTGTTAGAGGCAAAGGGGGAACACTTTGGGATTTGAGTCATACATGGAATTGGTGTTTTTCCTTTGTTTTGCCTATAGGAGGCTATTATGAAGCCCCTTGATCATAAGAATCTGGACCTAGATGTGCCATACTTTGCAGATGTTGTAAGGTGGGTGTGACTATTTTATGTAATATAGATAGTAGGAAAGAAGAATTGATTTTAACATTTTATCTAATTATTTTGTGATTTCTAACGTTTTAGTTTAATGACACCTTTTAAAATAGAATTTCTGTTCTCTGAAAATATTAAACATGAAATTTTATTTATTAGTCTTTTGATCTTTTCTTTTCTTCTGCAGCACAACAGAAAATGTAGCTGTATATATCTGGGAAAACCTCCAGAAATTTCTTCCTGTGGGAATTCTTTATAAAGTAAAAGTACATGAAACTGACAACAATATTGTAGTCTATAAAGGAGAATAGCCTTTAGGGGTTAATACTATAGAAAGATATAATTTCTTTCCAAATTTGAAAAATATCTTTATTCCCTTGGACTATTAAGAAGTCATCACATAATTACTGCATTTCCACATTGTGTTCTGGAATGCCTCATTTTTTGAAATCATTGTGAGTAAAACGTTTTAAATTCAAATTTATTTTAAAGCCAAACATGTAACTTACCCTGAGTATCATTTAGAGAGTCTGTTTTGTACAGATAAAAATCACTTCATTTCAGCCCTAACTGGTGTGGCTTGGTTAGACATTCTCCTGCAAAGCCAAAGGCTGCCAATTTGATTCCAGTCAGGGCACATACCTGGGTTGTGTGTTCAGTTTCCAGCCAGGGCGCATGTGAGAGGCAACTGATCAATGTTTCTCTCCCTCTCTCCCTCCCTCTCCATCACTCAAAAAAAAAAAAAAAAAAAAAAAATCACTTCATTTCAGCAAAATGTTTTGGTGTAGAATTGTTGAAAGCAGAAACATTTTTGTTTTACTTATCTTGTTTTTAGTATTCATTATTTTTCTGGTCTAATATAAATGGCAGAGGTGTTGATAAGACTTACAGTAGGCGAATCTTCTGAAAAATTAAAATAGAGGTAACCACAAAGTCTGGAAACATATATTTCTGAATAGATTGAACTCTTTGATTACTTCTAGGATATGCTATAGGCACAAGTTTATTCAATGAAAATTAGAAACACCGATCATCTGAGGCAATACATTGTGGATAGATACACAAGGATTAATGAAAGTGCTACTTCAGTGCACATTGTTCATTGCAGTTTTGGATAGCTTATTATTGAAATGTGCATTGCTAATGAGGAACAGCACATTGAATGTCTCAAAGAGTATCAGTAAACTACTTATTATGTATATTTGTTCATGTTTCCAAACCTTATGGCCATTTGATGAATTTTAATTCAGAAGACAAAGCAGGGACCACAAATTGTTATTATCATGTTAATTAACTGTTAATGGTCCTATACTCACCTATGTAAAAGAAGTTTGTGTCCATTTGTTTCACTTTTTATGTAACCCCAGAGATTTCCATGCTTTGTTTTCTCCCTCCTCCCTAATGTATCACCAATGAATTTTGTGTAACCCCATTACCCCATCTCCTTTGATTGTAATGTATAAAATAAAGTGCAAAACTGCCACTTTCTGGAGCATTTTCTCAAATTTGTTGAGATTTTACTTTCAGGCAATTGTTGTCGGTTTGACTCAAACTCAGAAATTCTTATGATACACGTTTGGACATTTCTAGATAAATATAAATCTTTGAAAGATAATTCTTGAAATTAAAACCAACTCCAAGGTGAGAAGTTAAGAAAAAATTATATTGACTATATTACTGTGAACAGAGTGACCAGAATTCAACAATCGTTTTTATTGTCTTAGTTGATGTAGTCTCCACCACTGGGTTATAAAAATGGCCAGGATAGTATCAGCTGTGTATATGTGATCACTAATAGACTAGACCCATAATAAGTGTCCATTAAGTTTTTTAAACTCCAAACTTTTATATTCTTTCTGGAAATGGAATTACGTTAAAGATGGGAAACAGATTGTGTTCATTTTGCTTTTGTTATGTCTGGTATTTCTAGCCTCCCTTGCACATAGAAAGTTTCACACAATTTAACTTTATAGCAAGATTCTGTTGTTGCAAGACACTTGGAAAGTGCCCCAAGTAAACACTATGTCCACATAGCTACAGAAAGAACTGCTTATCACCACAAAAGAAAAGCAGGGGAAGGTGGTTCTTGCGCTGGTGGGTTTTTAAGCTGGAGTTATACTTTCAAGTAGCTCTGCAGTTGGTGTGTGTTCTTCAAAAATCCACCCACCCTCTCCCACCGTGTTGTGTCACCACCGATACAGGAGTAATACTAGCATTTAAAAAGAGAAGTAGAACACTGCTTTTCTCCCCTGCCTCCCTTTTTTTTTCCTTTTTTTTCTTTTTTTCGGTTGTTGGCTAAAGAAACAATATCCGAGGCTTTTATTCTTAAAGATGCCCAGGAAACAAATCCTTGGTAATTCAACCCAAGTTCACCTTCATCCAACCAGTTTAATAATCAGTAAAAATTCCCCATTTAGTATGATAAATATGAGCTAAATTGAAAAACCCTTTTCATTTTCCACAAGTATCCTAAATATGAGCACTGTGGCCAATAACAACCTACAGAAACCGAAGGGCTAGTTTTGTCTTTTACCTTTCAAAGTTATTTGCCCACAGATAGAGCCATAGATGGGTAGCAGGGTATCTTGTGGGCATCTCAAACTTAACATTCGCAAAGTGAATTTCTGATTTCTCCTTTAAAATTTGTTCTTCACCAGTCTTCCCTAAAAATGCCACTACCATCCATTTTTTTTTTCAAGCCAGAAATCTGGGAGTTGGTCTTGATTCTTTTAATCTGTCAGAAAGTTATATATGTTTTACCTTTAACATATATAATGATTTTGTGTATATTTCCAATGTTATCACCTAAGTGCAACGGCCACCATTTCTTGCCTGGGTTACTGACATGGCCTCTTAACTGGTCTGCTTTCACTGTGGTTCTCTCCCACACTCCTGTCACCACCCTTCCTCTTCCTCCCATGTTATCCCTTGAACGCTTCCTCTTGATGCAATCCAAACTCTTCCCATTAGCCTGCCAAGCTCTATATGAACCAGCCTACTCCCCAGCCTCAAACTGTTGACTATGTTTTACATTCGCCTTTTCTCAGGTCCTAAGGCACACCCGTTTCCTCCCTTCATCAAGATCTTTGCATTTTCTGCCTGTTAAACAAAAATCTTTAAGGCTGAGAGTTGCCCTGAAAGAAAGGGTTTATTGAGCCACATCCTAGCCAGAAAAAGACCAGGTCCTGGGGCATGCAGTCTAAACCAACAGCAGCAGCAGGGTAAGATGGAGAATACAGATGCGTTGCCATCCTAGGGTTGATGGGGCTTTTTCATACAAAGAGTTGGGGGAAGAAAGATGTAAGTTGTTTTTATAAGAATTTACATTGGCTATAGATAAAGGGGGCAGGAAAAGGTTCTGAAGGGGAGAAAGTTCTAGGATAGAGGATAGTCCATAAGGAAGAAGCATTCTATGTTTCTGGATTGGTTGTGGGCAGCAGTATGGAAGGTTTATGCATATGCAGGATGTGGTTGGTGGAAGGCTGGTCTTTCTAGATAGCTGCCTGGAACTTGATGCAGAGTTTCAACATATATTCAAGAATGTGAGCACTCTGATTGGTTTTGGTCTGCTGTAGTTCACTGGTTAATCTTCCTTGTCTCTTCCTCTAGCCTGCTATAATTTAACATAGGACATTCTTAGAATTTTTCTCTTGTCATGCTCTTCTGCTTAGAATGCTGCCCCTGTCCTCTACCCCACCCCCTTCATAAAACCTATCAGTCTTCAGGTCCCAGCCTAAATGTCAACCTTGTGATCACCCATTATAGGTAGAAACCCTGTGTTATTTTCTATTAATAACATCTATATATGCCCCATCTTGCAGTTTTAAAATTATGTGTATGTTTTCTTTTATCTTATTTATTTGCTTATTAGTTTATTATCCATCCCAACTGCAAGGATGTCAACTTCATGAGGACCAGTGCCTTGTCTACCTTATTCACTCTTGTTGCCTCAGGACCTAACTCAGTGCCTGCTGCATTTAACAGATGCTGAATAATTAGATATTGAATGAGCAACAGTGCCTGCCATCTCTGGAAATTTTCCATTTCCATTTGTGGGCAAAATTTATTTTAGTTCCCAGCTACTAATTTAACTAAAGGTAAACTGGAATTCTGAATCAAGGATCTTTCAGTAAACTGCCATCCTCAAGACCACACTGTAATTTGTTAGCCTGGATGCAGGGCTCATTGACAAGGTTGGTTCATAATTACTGTCCTAGCTTGTAGGGAGTAAGTTTGACACAAGTAGAGAGGGCCTCAGTTTGTCTTGCTGAGAATGCTTCTTTTTTTAAATTATATTTTATTGATTATGCTATTACAGTAGTCCAAATTTTTTCCCCTTTGTCCTTCTCCACCCAGCACCCCCACTCCCTCAGGCAATCCTATTCCATTGTTCATGTCTATGGGGTCCATAAGTTGTTAGGCTACTCCTATACTGTAGTGTACATCCCCATGGCTATTCTGTAACTACCTATTTGTACTTCTTAATCCCCTCAGCTTTTCACCTGTTCCCCTGAAACCCCCTCCCATCTGGCAACCATCAAAATGCTCCCCCTATCCATGATTCTATCTGTTCTTTTTGTTTGCTTAGTTTGTTTTTTAGATTCAATCGTTGATAGATGTGTATTTATAGCCATTTTATTGTTCATAGTTCTGATTTCATTCTTCTTAAATAAGTCCCTTTAATATTTCATATAATAATGGTTTGGTGATGATGAATTCCTTTGGTTTTTGCTTGTCTGGGAAGTTCTTTATTTCTCCTTTGATTCTAAATGATAGCTTTGCTGGGTACAGCAATCTTGGCTGTAGGTCTCTACTTTTCATGACTTTGAATATTTCTTGCCAGTCCCTTCTAGCCTGTAAAGTTTCTTTTGAGAAATCAACGAACAGTCTTACGGGAACTCCCCTGTAGGTAACTAACTGCTTCTCTCTTGCTGTTTTTAAAATTCTCTATCTTTAAGCTTTGGCATTTTAATTATGATGTGTCTTTGAGTGGGCTTCTTTGATCCATCTTGTTGGGGACACTCTGGGCTTCCTTCACCAAATTAGGGGAGTTTTCTTTCATTATTTTTCCAAATAGATTTCCAATTTCCTGCTCTTTCTCTTCTCTTTCTGGCATCCCTATGATACAAATGTTGGAACGCCTTCTGTTCCAGAGGCTGCTTATACTATCGTCGTTTTGGAGGGTTCTTTTTTCTTCTTCTTGTTTTTATTGGTTGTGTTTTGCTTGCTTATGTTCCAAATCATTGATTTGGTTCTCAGCTTCATTCAGCTCTACTGTTGTTACCCTGTAAATTGTTCTTTATTTCAATTAGTGTGTCCTTCATTTCTGACTGCATCTTTTTTCTGCTGCAGAGGCCCTCACTAAGTTCCTTGAACATCCTTATAACCGGTGTTTTGAACTCATCTGGTAGATTGCTTCTCTCCATTTTGTTTAGTTCTATTTCTGGAGTTTTGACCTGGTTTTTCACTTGGGCCATGTTTGTTTGTCTCCTCATTTTGGCAGCCTCCCTGTGTTTGTTTCTATGTATTAGGAAGAGCTGCTATGACTCCCTGTTGTTGGTAGCATGGCCTGTTGTAGTAGGTGTCCTGTAGGGTCCACCAGCACAGCCTCCTCTATCACCCAGCCTGGGTACTCGAGGTGTGCCCTTTATGTGGGCTGAGTACACCCTCCTCTTGTAGTTGAGTTTTGGTTGCTGTTAGCAGGTCAATGGGAGGGATTTACCCAAGCCATTCAGCTGCAAGGTTTGATGTGACTACTGACCACCAACTTCTGCCCTCTATGAAGGATCAGTTGTGCCATGGCAGGGTGGTGGTGCTCTGACATGGTCTGAAGCTGCCCACTGGGTGCATTGGCCCCTGGGTTGCCTGGGTGGTGCAGACCAAGGTCAGCCCCATCCTATGTTCTGTCCCAGGCCACCCTGTCTGGGCTGTAAAGCAATCTGAGATGGCTGCTACTTGTGGTGGGCTTGGAGATTTTCAGGCAAAACCAAGCTGTGCATCTAAGCTGGCTGCTGCTAATGCTTGGACTGGGGCCACTTAGCAAGAGGTATGGGCATTGGAGGGCTGCTGAGGCTGGCTGTTGCTTGTTTGAGAGGATTTAGAAAGTTGTGAAGTGTGAGCCAAACCAGCCTTTCATATGGAAAAGCCACTGTTAACAATGGATGGGACAGAGCTTCAGGATCTCCAAGACAGGGCAAACAGTGTGAGCCAGCCACTAATTAACATTATGCCAGCCACTATGTGCCCGGTGTCTTAGTCACCACGTTCTTAAGGCAAGAGTTAGCTCTGGTTCACTGACCTGGAATCTGGGGTTACATTGTCCAAGGTCACTCTGTGAGTGGAGAACTGGGATGAACCTGTGTCTGTTTGGCTTAAAAAGAAAACCATGCTCAACAATTAAAATAATGATTTCAAAAATTTTCCCAAGCTCTTTAAATGCGACTTGTCTACATACTTAGTTATTTTAAAGACTTTTTGAGTTTATTGCACTCAAGAATCTGGTCTAAAGCTATTTTTAAATATGGGTTATATGTATGCATTGACAAATATGTAGATGTTTTTGCATACGTTAAATTATTTTCCACTTAGATATATGTATTTAACTTCATTCTATTTATATGATGTAACTTACATAAAGCAGAGTAAGAGTAGTCCATATGTTTTGGTTTCACTGCTGAGCCACATTCAAAGAAATACAGGCTAGCAATCAGAAGTAAAATAATTCTATGCTCTGCCTGTTGTGGCTCAGTGGATTGAGTGCTGGCCTGCCAACCAAAAGGTCACTGGTTTGATTCCCAGCCAGGGCACATGCCTGGGTTGTGGGCCAGGTCCTTGGTTGGGGGCATGTGAGAGGCAACCAATGTATGTATCTCTCGCACATTTCTGTTTCCCTCTTTTTCTCCCTCCCTTCCTCTTTCTCTAAAAGTAAATAAATAAAATCTTTAAAGTAAAATAACTAATTTTCACTTTTCTGATTCAACTGTTTATTCTATAGAGTAGTTTAAGCCCTTTTCCCATTATTTAGATTTTCTAGGAAAAGAAAGAGCCTAGGAGCTGACCCTGAAGGCTAGAGTACCTTCTACTTAAAAGGTACTCTTGAAGGGTGAGCCCTGGCTGGTGTGGCTCAGTGGGTTGAGTGCCAGCCTGTGAACCTAAAGCTCACTGGTTTGATTCTTTGGTCAGGGAATATGCCTTGGTTCCTATTTGGGCCAGGTTTCTATTTGGGGGCATATGGGAGGCCACCAGTTGATGTTTCCCTCTCATCCTCCCTCCCTACCCTTCTCTCTAAAAATAAATAAGTAAAATATTTAAAAATAAAAAAATTAAATGGACACTTTAAAAAAAAAGAAGCTTCAAGGGTGAAGGTGAAGTTAGGGCTAGAGGGAGAAAGATTGTGAAAAGTCACACATTAGCCATTTATAAGTTAAAAATTAGTAATTTTAGTCTTTGTTATAGACACCATTTTATTTGCATATTTTTATATTATTATAACACTTGGCTTTCTTATCCATCAGTGTATCATTTGTGATGCTTTTTTAGGCACTAAATAATTAGATAGTGTTTACTTTGTGCCATGTACTCTTTGAGGTGCCTTATATATATTAATTGATTTAATATCAACACAACCTGTGAGGTGGCTACTGTTTTATTCTTTATTTTACAGATGAAGAAACCAAAGTATACAGAAGTTAAGTAACTGGTATCAGGTCCCACAACTGATAAGGGACAAATCAAATGAGGTTGAACCCAGGCAGTCTAGCTTTAGAGTATATGCTTTAAGATAATTACAAACTATCACTCTTATGAAATAATAAAGCTTTACTTAATTATTAATAGTTTGAACATGTTTTAAGTTTTTAAGAAAAATTTTAAAAAGATTTATTTATTTATTTTTAGAGAGAGGGAGGGAGGGAGAAAGAGGGAAAGAGAAACATCAGTGCGTGGTTGCCTCTTGAGTGCCCCCTACTGGGGACCTGGCCCACAACCCAGGCATGTGACCTGACTGGGAATCGAACTTTGATTCACGGGCTGGCTTTCAGTCCACTGAGCCACATGGGCCAAGGCAATATATTCAGCATTTACTTTACAGAATAATATGGATAATGGCAGACAATAAGATACTGTCTCAATCTTCTGCCTGTCCTGAATTTTTTTTCCTGCTCTGAATGCTTGGTGTTATAGTTGGATTATTGACCAGGGTGAGACTCTTTCTGGGGTGTGAAAATCTTTGAGGTAATGGAATTTGCAAGACATCAGTTTTCTTTCCTGCTTTCTCAGAATGCATTATGATGGGTAAGCAATTGCTTTTTTAGTCACATAATAAAAATGCATTGAATTTACAAAGCATGATGCTGAAACAAGAAAACATAAATAGAACAAGGCTGGGCAAGTGAGTGTGGGAGTGATGGACAGTCCATCTATTGTTTATCTCTTTATTGTGCACAAGGTTAGAGCTTGTGGGCTTCCTTGCAGTATAGCCTGTGTGCATTATTTTTTTCCTTTTGGTGTATCACTCTTTCCTATTAGGATCAGGAGGTTAATTACAAATATGAGAATCAGGATTAGCTATTCCTGAGAATAGTGAGAATGGATGTACTTCTGCAGCTCTTTACTCTTACTCTGTTATCGACCCTACTTAGAAAGAGTGACCAGGAACGACAAATACTTGGAACCTGTGTTGCTTGAATTCCTGTCTCCTGAGCCCAAGGAAGACGTCACTTGTTGAGTGCAACACTATTTCTGAGCCTGGATTTTGCTTCAGAATCCTTAACAGTGCTCCCAGCATCCTCTGTCAGTCAGATATGGCATTCAGATAACATCTATTTACTACCTCTGACTAGGACTTTAGAGCTACATCTAGCTATGACAGAGATCAAAATTGAGACCTGAAAGAGGTATGAGATATCTCTTACCTAACATGAAAAAACTGAGGTGGAAGAATGTAAAGACACTTGTTTAAGTTTACGTTTGTACTTTGCAGCAGAACTGGAATATAATAGGTTTCCCACCTGCTAATTCAGCACTTTGTCTTAGCCGCCTCTGTACTGCTTGTCTGAATTCACCCAGATTTCTCTGAGTCTAAAAATTTCCCAGCTTCAGAGAGTATCTTTGCTCACTATTTGTCCACCTTCCACAGTGACCTGAGATGAAACGTGTTCCTAGCTTGCTGGGGCAGGACTCGCTGCTGGTCATCTTGGAAGTGGCAGCCGGGAAGTGGGGCATGGAGGAGCACTGCTGGAGCATGCAGCCTGCTTGTGTCAGCAAGGGACACCTGTCCCCTCTCCCTGTCACATGACTCAGGGAGTCAGTTGTTCTGGGGGTCTCAGGTGATGCAGGAGCTGTGCCCGGAGCCCTTAGGGTGTCCTGGTTAAGGGTGCAGACTCTGAAGTGGAATAGGCCTCTCTTCAAAACCCAGCTTCATACTCACTGAGTGACTTCAGGCAAATTATATTTCTCTCTCTGCCTGAGTGTCCTCATCTGTAAATGGCTGTATCTCAAAAGGCTGTTGTGAAGATTAAATGAGACAGTGCATGTAAAGTGCTTAGCACAGTGCATGGCAGATACTAATAGCTACTGAGTGATGTCACAGAAAATGGTGAAATAAGGAGTTCCAAGAATTTGTCCCTCCACTGATGCTACCATTAAGATGGCAAAAACTGTCAGTAAACCTTCTCAGAACTCTAGAATCTAACTTAAAAACAAAACAAAAAAGCAACCCAAACCCTCACATCTATTAGGGGAGTGCTTATGAAGAAAGGCTGCCAAAGTTTGACATTTAAGAAAATCTTTCAGGTAACTGGCTAACTGCTGCAGTTACACAAAGGAGACTTCAGTGACCACACAATAAGAATGCAGTCTTTGCAAAAATAGTTTAGAAAAAGTCACTAAACAAATGGATAACTCAACGAGCAGCAACAGCATACCATGAAGAGAAGGGAGAACCTGATTTCCAGTGTTATCACTTAATAGTATTCAAAATGTCCAGTTAAAAAAGACCTACAAAGTAGGAAAATATGGCCTATTCACAGGGAAAAAGAAGAATTTGGAAGGAAGGCCAGTCATTGGTTGTTGGCATCTTGGAATTTAGCATAATTATTAAAAGAAGACTTTGTTGGTTATTACTGGCAATACCATGCTTTCTTTTGGTTTTATATTGTATTATGGATATTATAAATATTTTGCCCCTTTCTCTTATTGGAAAACACCATTTAGGGAAAAATGACCAGTTTAAACTTGAAGAATATTAAAACGGAGAAAATTTTACCCATAGATCAGTCCTTGAAAACATACATACTCTCCTCATTCTGTTATTTTCTTAATGCTCACAGAAATGAATAAAATTAGATAACATTCTCTGTATTTTAAATTATTCACTTATTAAAGACATTTGAATTTATCACATTATTCTTGTTTGAAATACGGTTTATTTGGTATGACATGAAAAATAATGCCTTTATGCCATAATCTTTCCCTATCTTTGGCTGCTCAGACATGCTACATTCCTATTTTCTTGCCGTTCAGATGCTACTGGTGTTGCCAGTAGCATAAGGACAATTTCTCCTTTCCTTGTTGAGTCACGTGAGTCATAGAAGCTCTGTAACCTGCGTGGGTTTGGTCATAAATCACACCAAAGTGAGGAAAGTGAGGAAAGATTCTTCCCACAGAGACTCAGGGATAGCAGGCGGGAATCATTTGTCAATGAACAAAAATTTTAGATTGGCTATGGACCTGGCTGTTCATATGTTAAAACTAGAACCAGAATTCTAGGTTACAGCTAGACCAGGTCTAAGTGGTTACAAAAAGCCTAATTTGTGTCCTGAAAGATCCAGTTGAACACCTGTGTGCCCCAAATCCACCAGTGCAGTGGACTGGCTACTCTCAACCCAGTCTCCTTTTTGGTCCAAAGCAGTGGCAGTAGAGATGTACAATGAAAACTTAAGGCCTTCATTCACACACATGATGGAGCCCTGGCCTGAGCTGGAACGTAGGAGGGTGCAGCAGAAGCAGGAACAGTCGTTCTCCTTGCATCCTCTAGAAGAGGAGTTTGCTGGTGAGAAAAACAAGCAGGATCTGAATGGCATCTGTGATGGGGCTGAGGAAGATTCTGTTGGCCAAGCTTTTGGTTGTGGTTGGAGTTGAGGCTGGATATAGGATTCGGGTTGTGGTTAGGATTGGGGTGGTTGTTCGCCTGGTCGTGGAGATCATGGAGTATGACGGTGTGGTCAGTGCTGGAGAAAAAAAATGACATCAGAACCTCTGGTGGGTAGTAGGTGGGCACTAGAGAAACGAGGCTAATCCGATTGAACACTGGAGCCAGAGTTCATGAACAAAATTCGGTAAGCATGTCTTGTGGGCCAGGTGTTTGTAGAAGAGGGACAAAACTCTGGGGTACAGAATGTCAAGGAAAAAAAGTAGGAACACTCTCAACCGTTAAGGTCTACACAGGAAGGAATTTATACTTAATTATATAACTACTGACTTTGTTGTTGGATTGGTTGTCAGTCCTCAAGTGTCCTGAATATTGTATTAGATGTATCAGTGCAAATATGATCCAGAATGGCACAATTATTTTTTGTTGCTGATTTCAAAGGTTGCATGTAAAGTTTGTAAGAACTGGTTACTGCCCTGGCTGGGTTGCTCAGTTGGTTGAAGCATTGTCCCCGTACACCAAAAGGCTGCAGGTTCAATCCACAGTCAGGGCACAGACCTAGGTTGCAGGTTTGATCCCTGGTCCAGGAGCTACAGGAGGCAACTAACCAGTGTTTCTCTCTTACCTCAATCTCTGTCTCTCTCTCAAATCAATAAACATATCCTCAGGTGAGGATTAAAAAAAGAAGCTAGTTACCATCCAGACCTGAGGATGGCTACTCCTTCTTTAAAGTAAGTGGAAAGAGTTGCTGTCCAAACCCCTGAATCTCTTTCTGTGGTTTCTGAGACACTGGTCATTTTCCCATGCAGGACTTGACCACACATTGGTTTTCTGGGGTTGCCTCCCTGAGAAGCAGGGAAAGCCAAACCTGCAATGCTGGGGTGGGAAGTGGGTGGTGGGTGGGATATCTGATCCAGGAAAAACTGGAGCTTGGCAATGATGCCTTCAAGGGTCTGAGCTGAACACGAGGGGACTTTAAAGAAGGGAAATGTCCAGTGATTTGCTTAGGCCTATGATTCTTCTGCCTGCCTGGAGGGTGCCTTTAAGTCTGTGGCATTGCCTTATCTCATTTAGCATTTTCCCAGACATTTCTCTGGCATCTTACTGAACCAGAAAGTCTGACACAACCACTATATTTTCATTTTTTTCAACTGGATTTTATTGGTTGGATTTTTTAGTGTTTATTAGCTGGATTTATTAGTTTATCTTCTTTCAGGGAGATAAGGAGCTCTGACTAGAGACAAACTCCCCCCTTCCCCCTTTCTTAGCACTTACTCTCCTGTTCATCTTGAAAATGTCCTTGAGGAAGAAAATAACATTCAGTCTTTTCACCGAGGGAAGACCACCAAGAAAACAGTTGAGGCTTTTATGTAATAGTTCCATCAGGCATAATCACTTTAAAATTTGTTTTTGAAAATAGGTATCCCTTTGACCACATTTGCATTGTGTGACTGGTGGGAAAATGGGTAGTGTAGTCAATGTACTTCAGTATTTGGGGGGCTCCTGAGGAGGACTTGTTATCTGGACATTGAGAAAGATAAATGTTTTTTGTTCTTGGTTGAACCTTGTATTTAAAAACTTAATTAAAAAAATATTGTTTTTTAATAGATTTGATGTTAGTCTAAGAAAAGTGTAAAAAGTATAAGATGTGGAATCTGAGTCCTAAGATTTCCATTTACCTTCTGTGTGACCTTAGGCAAGTTACCTATATTTTCTGAACTTCCATTTGAATTTGTTTTAGCTCTAGAGGGAGGTGAGAGAAGGAAGGAGACAGGAGAAAGGAAGGGCAAGGAGCTTCAGGATGGTTTGAAGTTGAGGACTGCAACCTGTGAAAGACCAGTGGAAATTCCTGGTGGTAGTGGTGGCAGCCAAAGGCCATTCTGGGAACGAATGCAATTTTTGGTATTTTTATGCTGTCAATCCTCTGTGCAAACCTGCCCCCTCTTCCCTATAAAGTCTGCTATACCTGTGGAGGTTTTAGGTGAGTCGGAAATCTGTGTGGAAATTGAGGAAGGAGCTGACTTCCATTTTGGTGTCTATATGGCATTGATAGAAATGGCTCCTGAGGAAGCAGGATTCTGGAGCCACAGGTGAATGTGAGAACATAAGGCCTCTAGAAATTGGCAGAAATCTTGGGGATGACTTTTGTTCTTTTTTTTTCTACAGGACATAGGATGAGAGGTTGAGCTAATCTTACTTAGTTTTCAAGGTGCTAGAAGGCTCAACTGGTATCTTGGTAACGCATGACTAGAAGACTTTTTTCTGGGGTACTCACAAAGTAACTTTCCAGGCTGATTGAGTTCACTGTCAGATATATAAAAGGACTGCAAAGGAACTTACCGTGTTTTTTCAGTTTCAGATAAGAAAGTGTAGCCACTTTGTCCGCATCGACAGCAAAAGCTCTGTGGAGGGTAAATCAATGGGAGATAATGGTGAGGACCTCAGCCGTGGAATTCACAAGTTCCACTCACATTTCAATCTTGCCAGAGGATCCCAACCTCTTAGTTCCTTTTGTGCTTCCTTTTTCTATAGCACAGTTAGCAGATCATTAAATACTGGTCTGCTCTATATTGTCTTAACTAAGATTCTTCCTGACCTTGCTCCAGAGGAGATCATGTCCATCCCTCACCTCAACCAACTTTACCACCCTGAACTCCCCACAGGCTGGTGTATGCCTCTGGTCTTTGTTCAAGCCAGTCCTTCTGCCTGTAACATCTATCCAGACCACATCTTCTCACAGACTTAACAGTAACTCTATGATGTTGTTTTTTCTATTATCATTAATCCAGACAGATCTCAATCAGAGAGACATGCCTCTCTACTGCATTGTCTTGCTATGAACCTCTCCCTGCATCGGAGGGCCAGCTCCTTGAGAGCAGATTCTGTTGTCAACAATGACTAACACATAGTAGGTGCTTAATGTTCATTAAATAGTCTGTAGAGCTTGGTGTGTTGTTTTTATACAAATAGGTCCATTGTATCAGCCTCTTGTTTATACATTCAGCAATTAATTAATGAGAGTGCACAGCATGCTAATCACTGTGCTTGGTGCTGAGGCGACAGTGGTGAACCAGACAGGTTCTTACTCTTACCCTTGTGGCACTTATAGTCCCTTCAGAGAGACAGATTTTAAATGAATAATCAACTAACAAATTAAATAATTGATCACAGTGGTGATAGGTGCTCTGACAAAGCAGCAGAATTTGTGAGAGTTAAAACAGGGACCTGGAACTTATCTGGGAGTTTAGGAAATGTTTTCTTGAGGAAGTGACGTTTAACCTCAGTAATCATTTCTGTAAAGGCCTTGCCTCACCAAATCTCATTGCAAAGTTCATGGCCAGGCATCCTTTCACACGGCTTTTGTGCCCTAGCCAGCAGAGTGGAGTTTCCTGCTTTCTTTATCCCCCATCACATGTGCTGCTCCCCTCTCCTTGTCAGCCTTGCTGATCAAGGCCATGTGTGCACATTGCAGACAAGCAGAGAAGCCAGTGCATCATAGTGGGGTGCAAGTCAGGAAGGGTCTGGAGATCACACTGTCAGTGGGAATGTGCTCTTTCTATAGCAAATTGTCACTGCTTGGTCTTTTATCTTTTGTTGCTGTAATGAAGAGAGATGAAAGGAAAAGCTATTGCCCTAATTAGCCTTGGCTGGCCTCGAAGAGACTGCTCTAGCTGTGAGGCTGGATTGTAGCAGCTCCTTTTGGACTCGATTCTTACAGGCCACTCTGTGGGAGCCGTCTAGGCCCAAGCAGGCCCTGGGCACAGCGGGCGAGTGTGGGACGGCTTGACAGCATCATCACCACTGTCCAAAGAGACTTGGTTGCTGTTCACAGTGGACATGCGAGATGGTCAGACTTATGCTTTCAGCCCCAAATGGCAGGCCAAAACTGTAAGGACCTCTCAACAGCTGGTCTCTAAAGCAAACTTGGTAACAAATTCGTGGCCGGGTGGAAGGTTTTTGTTAAGGTGCAACGTGAGCCCCCTGTTTGTTTTACCTCAGAATGAAAGTGTGTCCATTTGGTGTGATATTAGGAAGCCAGTTATTACATAATCACACTTTCTGTTAGCAAGCCATTTCCAAAATGAATCTATGTTTTAAGAAATGATTCTTCAGTTTGAATATAGAGAATTTGCAGCAAACAGGGGGCCCAGTGACAAAGATTATTTGCTTGACCAAATTTCAGCCAGGCTTTGGAACCTCCTCCTAGGCATCTGTGCATTGCTTATAAAATCCACATTTAGCAAGAATCCTTCTAAGTCAGCTTAACAAAACTTCTTTTTTTCTTTTTAAATAATTTTTTGAAGATTTTATTTATATTTAGAGAGGGGGAAGGGAGGGAAAAAGAGAGGGAGAGAAACATCAGTGTGAGACAGAAACATTGATCAGCTGCCCTTTATACACGCCCAGGCTGGGATCTGAACCTGCAACCCAGGTATGTGCCCTGACTGGGGATTGAACCGGTGATCCCTTGCATTTTAGAACACCCAACCAACTGAGCCACACCAGTCAGGGCTAGCAAGAACTTCTTACCCTCGATATCTGATAGCCCTTAATGTTTGATTGAGTTCCTTCTTTTCTATCGTCCCCCAGATGATATCTTATCTTGCCCTTCAGTAATAATCCTGTTAGGTCCTTTTAGCTAGAAATCCCTCACCCACCTTACAGGCCTTGATGTTTCCTCTCAGTAATTTTCCCTCCACTGACTCCCATCCTGCTCTTTGGCTATAAATTTCCACATGTCCATTTTGTATTCATAATTGAGCCTGATTCTATACTGAGGTCTCTTTTCTCCTATTGCAGTAGTCCTGAATATAATCTTTATATATACATATGTATTATGAATGTATGTATGTGTATATTATTCATTCATTCATTTTGCTTTAACCATTGTCCAGCTCTGGTTTTCTCTAACACCAGTTCTTTCTGTTTATGTTGAACATATATGGTATGTGTGTTTGTGTAAACTCCTATAAATAAAAGGTAGGACAAAAACAGTGAGGCAGAAGAGTGTAGGTACTGAATTCTCCACAACATATTTAGATTGTATTTTGAGTCCTCCAAGATCAGTGTAAAACTGTATAAACCCAATATGAAATTGTAAAAGCCCAAATCCTATGTAGATAGGTTCTTACTGTATCTCGACTGTAGTTGTGTTCGTGGAAGGAGGAGATTTCCAGTTGGCCTCAAAGAGCCCTTCACGTGAGACCTTCATGATATACAGTACGCTGCTGTTGCAGGCGAGGTCTGCTTTGTGCCAGAGGCCTATCGAGTTGTTGTTCGTGTCCAGTGCTCGCAGGACCACATAGGTGGTACTGTAATTCACAGGAACAAATACTAGAAAGAAATGATAAGGAGATGATCAGCCATCTGTGTAGCAAGAAGGGATGAAGGTCATGAGATCAAAATTAACTGTGGGAAAAAAAGTTAAAAATAACATGTGCATGTAATGTGGTTCCATTTTTATAGAAGTTGAAAAAAGTCTGGAAGGGAAACCATCAAGATATTAACTGCGGTGATTTCTTGGTAGTGGGATTACAGATGAGTTTTCTTTTCTTCCTACTGGCTTTTTTTGTGTTTTCTAAATTTTCTACAGTAAGAGGTGGATAAAAGGAAACCTATTCTCAGGTCCTGGTTTTGTTACTTACCAGGGGTGGGTGGGATTTAAGGTTGTCTTTTAACTTCTTGAGCCTGGGTCTCATCTGTCAGATGAAGAGGATGAGTGTGCTCTGCCCTTCTTTGGGGGTGGGGGGGGCGTGGAATGTGGGAAGAGTAGGGATTGATGCATGAAAATGTGTCAAGTGCGCCCCCTGGGAAGTGCTTCCTGAAAATTGGGAATGTTATTACCAAGTTAAAGCAAAGCCTGTTTCCAAGTCCTGGAAATGCTGAAATTCTCCGTCTCTGTTGCTGAGGGTGAGGGAAGTGGGGGCCTTTGAACCCCTGGGGCCCTAATTCAGGTAACTATCAAATGACCCTTTAGAGATCCCTAACCTTTTCCACTCAGGTGAGTGTCTTATGACCTAGCCTGGCATGCACTCACAGGGGACCCCACTGACACTTGTTAATTCCACTTGTTAATCTCAGAATTCTGGTTTGTAATTAGAAGACAACTTCAAGAGAATATTTCATTTCCTTCCTTAGAAGATCCCTTCTGAAGGAATTCCTCAATGCTAAGGTGTTCGCTAGGGTACTTTCAGACTCCCAAAATTCCTTCAAGGACTTCTTCACAAAGCAAAGAACATCAGTCGTGTAGCAAAATAGGATCAGGCAGTCCTGGTTCTGAATTTCTAGCTTTAACAAGTCATTTCACCTCTGAGCCTCAGCTTCCTTATTCTTCATCATTCACTCCATGAATATTTATTGAATGCCTGCTTTGCACCAGGCCTGGTTCTAGGTCCAGACACAATGATATTATCCTTTCTGTAGGGAGATCACGATATCTTATCTTGGAAGGAATAGAGAGAACAATGCAAAGACTTTAATAAAGAGTGGATGTTAGAGAAATTGCAATTGTTATTGTTTCTAGCACAAAACTCTAGTCTGTTCTATTTATTTGCAGTTGCCAGTTAACACGGGCTGAGCCAGATTCTCTGGACCCTGACTTACTCAGTGAGAATCTGGCATTTGTCCTAGATGTGGGCAGGATGGTGCGGTGGACTGTGACAAGTGATGGCGTCATCCAGGTAGTCGTCAGATCTGTCAGCCCTCCCGTGGTCATGGTCTTGCCTCTGTCCTTTCTTCTGCTCTGCCTCTCTGACTCTGGCTCATGTCCTCCTTTCTTCTCTCCTGGGCATCTGTTTTATTTGGATTTCTGGTCTTCATGCTCTCCTCCTTTCAGGCTATGGCCAGATCAGACTTGGACACATAACACTTCCATCTGGAGACACTCCTCTCCCGGACCTTTAAAGTCCTCTTATTTCTAGAGCATCAAAACATTTCTACTTCTGTTCTGTCAGTTACAGTATCCAGCAGGCAGCTTTTATGACCCTCATAACCTAGCTCACTCTGCTCTCTGCGCTCCCACTCTAGGGGCAGCCAGTCTTCCTCTGGTTCTGCAGACTCACTTGACTCACACCTGGACCTGGTCTTTGTTCACATCTGGCTGTCTGTGTGGAATCCTTACTTCATTGTCATCACACATTTCATCCCCATTAACTTTCCAGGATCCTCCTTATGATCTACCTCTGGACCAACTCAGTCTTCTTTTCACTCCTGAAACATTTACGTTTTTTACTGTAGAGCTGAGTGCTTAATTACATTCTGGCTTAATTGCATACTGTGGTTTCATCTGCCTTGGTATCTGGCCAGCCCAGTGCTGGGCACCTGGAGGGCAGTAAATAACTACTAATTAATTGATTTTAAAAAGATGTGCATCCAATGCTGTATAGTGAATACCTTTAAAGCTGAAGATGCAGGGAAAAAAACAGGCAAGTTACATCCCTCTTGTCCATAGAAGTAAAAAATGGAGGCAGATGCTTAATTAGTACAATCTTAACACAAATGTCATTGCATTAGGGGTTTCTTTCAATAATATTAAGACAGACCCAGAGAATCTGTTCTAAGAGATTCCCTGAGCTGCAGTTGTGTCTTGAGACCTGCTAAGCCATTTATATATGACTTACCGATGTTGACACAAACCCTGAAATTTAGAGATTTCAAAATCAAACTAAGGAGAAGTTAGTTTGTGTGGGCATTTACTTGGTCTAAAAGTTAGTGCCTCAGCCAGCCAAGTCCTGTAATGACACTCTACAGGGAAATCATGGAGACTGTTTTGTAATCCTAGGTGTGGAATCTGGCACTTCAAACCTCTTGTGGGCACAGGGTTTTGACTCAGTGTAAATCATTCCTATGGTGTATTGCAGAATTGTAGCTCATTCTGAATGAAAGCAGAGGAAGTTTGGGGATGTACATTGGATCCTTTCCTCCTTGCCTTTTCCCTCTGCTCCACCACCGCCTCTGCAAATGCCACAACTTCCCTTTCACCCAGGCTGTTCCCCTTCACCCAGCATGTTCCATTTCAAGATGTCTTTCCTGTTTCAGGTGTCTTATTGTTCATCTTTTGACTCTTTTTTTCTCCTGTCTTCCTGCTTTCAGAAGGCTCATCATCCCCCTTCTCTGCACCCCGTCCCCTACCTTCACAAGGTAGGTTTCTATTTCTTCCATTTCAACAGGAAAATCCTTCACCTTGGGATGTATCTTAAGCCAGAGGTCTATAATCTCTTTTGTAGCAATTCCTCTGGGCCCCCAGGTCTTTCCCAAATACATGGTCACACATATGCCCTCCTTGTCTTCATCTTGAATTACAACATTATCCTCCCTGCCCAGTAGGACAAGATCCACTGCCTGAGCAAGTAGGACACAGTGAGCCTTATCATAACTGAGGCATTTGTGACAGTCCCCATGGGAAAAACAAACAAACAAACTATAAAGCTAGTACAGGTGTGTGAAGGCAGACTATAGCCATTTACCTGCTGAAGCCTGGAATGTGTAAACATGGGTATGGATATCACCCTGGTGGTCTCTGCAAAATTTGGTTAGTTTTAAGGGAGGCAGGATAACATAGTAGATAAGAAGACAGGCTCTGAAGCTGGACAGCCTGGCTGAACATAGCTGGACTGTTATGAGGTTCAAATATTAGTTATGTTACTAATGATCTTGGGTAAAACTTGAACTTATGTGTGCCTCAGTTGTCATCTGCAAAATGGAAAGGTACTAGCATTGACGCTTAGAACAGTACTCAGCACATAGTAAGTATCAGTTCTCGTTACTATAATCGAGAAGCATATAGTGTAGTGGTTAAGGACAGAGTCTCTGAAGGTAGATTCCTCATATTCGTATCCCTCCTCCATCATTTAAGTAGCTCTGTGACCCCCGAGCAAGTCTCTAGCATTTCTACTTCTGTTTTTCATCCATGAAACAGGAATGACAGTGGTCTCTACCTAATAGGCTGTTATTAGGACCAAATGAATTAATACATCTAAGCCACTGTATTAAATGTCATTATGAAAGCAATTAGAAAGCACTTGCCTTGACTTGTAGGTCTGGCTGGTCCCAAAAGGGATATTTATAAAATATTACTCGGTACCTTGAATAAAAGCATTGGATTAGGAATGAAAAGAACAAGATTCAGGAGCCAGTTCTGCCACCTACTAACAGTGAGACCCTGAGCAAGTCATTTATCTTCTCTCAGCTTCAGTCTCCTTATATAGAAGATGGGATATCAATGCTATTCCCGTCCAGTGAATTAGATTTTTCATTTGTGGACTAAATGTGAACAGTGCCTGCTGGAGTGGTGAAATATACAGTCATCCACAGTGGCACTGTTTTATCAAATGGGTGTGAAAAGATTACAAAGTGTGATGTAATTACTGTCCCTTAAGATAATAAACATGCTGATTTTAAGTCAGGACATGCCGTGGGTGTGCTCTTGCTGGGTCTTAGTTAGCCTGGGGGGACTTAATGACTTCTTGTCCCTCAGGTTGGCACAGGGAATATGCAGAAATATTTTCACCCAACCTACTCTCTCACATGTTCTCATTCTTTCTGTCCCCACTGCCCATCCGGGTCAAAAAACACAAAATGAGAGCAGAGGTGGAGAGTTATGTTCCGAAATTCTGGTAAACTCCCCTTAGAGAAAAAAGACAGCAGAGAGAATGGCGTCTACTCACTTGTGTAGGCCTTGTTGTCTTCATAGACATCTGCACTGGCCTTGAGGCCAGTGGTGGGGGTGACTGCCTTGAAGAACATGCAGATGTCATTGTCATTTGCAGCGCTGGCAGAAATAAACAGCATTCCGAGGCACAGAAACAGCCCCAGGGATGGCAGCGTGGACCCACGGACAGCCATGATCTTGGTTGGTTTGGGCACTGCTGGGTCTGGAGCTGGGAAAGACCTCTCCTGTTTATATGCTTTGGGGCTGGAGTTTCTGGGTGCGGTCATACATGCAAATTCATCTCTAACCACTCCCTGGCTTCTGAAACTTGTCACCACGATCCTTTATCAATTCCAACTTTGCTCAAGAAAGAGAATGTACTGATTATGGATTTATTTTGCATCTCACTCACCTTAGTACCTGCTATTTGAAGAAAGCTGTGGAGAAAGGTTTAATTCTGGCAAAATAAAATTACGGGTTGAGTAATCATTACATACCTGGCTCATTTAGAAGCTTCACTCTTCTCCCTGTGGGAAACTCAAGTATAAAAGCCTTCTTTTCTTGGAATATTATGTATCCACTTCCCATTCTCTTTAACTGAACATGTCTCCAATCCCAGTTCATTTTGTGACTAGCATAGAACAAAAAACATTGTGGTTCTGGATTTATAGTTCGAAAGAAACAGCTTTGGTCCATTTGCATTGTATAGCAAGGAAACTACTTCTAAAAATCAGAAAGCATGTTTTTCATATCTCTTCTCTGATTTACTTGCTGGAGGAAAAAAGAGGGCAGAAATATTCTACCATGTGAGTAGAAAGAAAGCAAAAAAATGTAGAGTTGAATCAAGGTGATATTTATAAACTATTTTTTAAGAGAAGCACTCACAGAATCGTGGAGCGAGGACCTCTGAAAAAGTCACTCCTCCAGAAAAGCAGTGAGAACACTAACAAAAATTGTCAAAAGTCAACTTTTTTTGAACTCTGGATATTAATCAAAGCTTGCAACAATCTGGGGAGCATTTGTTTAAGAAAAATGGCTGAATCTTTTTAAGGACAGTGAGTATTATGGCATTTTAATCTGTCTTATTCCCATCCCCTCACCCTATCTCTGCAGTAGCCTTTGAAACCAGCAGCCTTGCAATGGTAGCCATGAAAACCAGCAAACTGACAGCCAGTGTAATGGAACAGAATAGATTTGGAGCTCTCTATAAAAGCTGCATACTCACAGAATTGTCTTTATTTGACCTGACTCAGAATGTGAAAACAGTCTTATTGCTACGGCATTTGTTAAAAATAAAGAATGGGATTTTTTTTTTTTTTAACATTGCAGCTGCCTGAGGCTGTGGTTCCAATTGGGACTAACCAAGAGTTGAGCAGAAAATGTAAAAGAAAAAACTGGGGAATAAAATGATGGTTGGGGTCTTTGAAAGGGTCTGACAAATTCCTGGGAATCCAGAAGGACATGTGCGTGTATAGGGCTATGGACATGGCCAAGAAAGACCCAAGAAAATCTTAATCTTTCATTTCTGGCTCTGTACAGGTGGGAAAATAAGGCTATGGCATAGTTGTAAACTACCTATCTAATCAGTGAAGGTATGCCCCAAAACACACCCACAGAGGAATTTGGCAAAGACTGGGAAACATACTGGTATAAGGCATTAAAGACATCTCTGTCTATTCATTAGGAGACTACTAAGTAACTGAGCAGAGACATCAGTGGCCACACATGATAAAGAATATGGGCCTTACAGAATTAATTCAGGTAAGTCACTAAACAAACAACAACACAAACAGTAACAACCAATGGGAACTGCAGCAACCCCTGGGAGAGAATCTGGTGCCCACACCATTATAATGGCCACATTATAATGTTTAAGTTATTTTTTTTAACAAAAAAATATGACATACCAAAAATGAAATGTATGGCTCATACGCAGGAAAATATTCCAAGCAATATAACCTGTCCCTGAAGAAGCCCAGATGTTGGACTTACTAGACAAAGACCTTAACTCAAGTATTGTAAATATGTTCAAAGAACTAAAAGAAACCACATCTAGAGAATAAAAGGAAAATATAAGAATGACTCACCGAATAAAGAATAGTAATAAAGAGATAGAGATGATAAAAAGTACCCAAAAATCTGCAGTTGAAAAGTAACTAAAATGAAAAATTCACTAGAAGGACTTAACAACAAATTTGTTAAAACTTGGCAGTAGAAAGTTATGGCAGACCCCATCTTGTGGAGTCCTCTGATTGGCCGTGGATGAAGTAATGAGTCTTTCCAGACACCAAGTGCTGTCAAGAAAAGGGGAAGGTGATTCTCTTTGGTGGGTAATCCCCTGAGGCCCTCTCTGTAGTGGTTTTTATTGAGAACGATATGCTCAGGGGTATACAGCATGCATGCATAGCTTATTAATCAATGCCTAAAGGCTGTATTTACAGAAAACAAATAGAAATCATAGATAACAATTGAAGGAACACAGATTTGCATCAGGTCAGGGTCTGTAAGACATGCTGATGTCAGATGGTTATTAAGATATGGCTCCTGAATTCAGGAATTCACTCCTTTTGTTTGGAGCTTAAGCATCCAGTTTTTCCTTATCAGGGCCATGCAAAGCAGAGCAAGCTTCAGTGGGTACAATGCATTATTTAGGCCAGATTTCCCACGGGAATACTTGGTGTTGATATCAGATCATGCCTTCCTCCCAGCATTCCTAGTTTTCTGGTTGAGACTTACAGACCCATTTTCAAGGCCTGGCTCATGTGGGGCTATAATTCCTGATACCTACAAAGTGGTCCTCAACAGAAAGTATCAGTAAACTTGAAGATATTCAATAAAGATATTAAATAAATTTAACAAAAGAAATGAGATTTGTACACTGAAAAACTACAGGAGACCCAGAATAGTCAAAATGATATTGAAACAACTACAATAACAAAGTTGGAGAACTCACACTTAGCAATTTCAAAACTTACCGCAAAGCTATAGTAATCAGTAAAGTGGTATTGACATAAAGGTAGATGTACGGATCAATGGAAAAGAGTTGAGAGCTCAGAAATAAACCTGTTTGTTTATAAGCAACTGATTTTTGACAAGGGTGCTAGGACAATCTGACGGAGGCAAGAATAGACTTTTCAACAAATGGTGCTGGGACGACAGGATATCCAAATGCAAAAGAATGAAATTGGACCTCTTCCTCATACCATGTCAACTCAACATGGGTGAAGAATCTAAATGTAAGAATTTAAGCTATAAAACTCTTAGAAGAAAACACGGGTATAAATCTTCATAACCTTGAATTAGGCAACAGTTTAATAGATATAATGCCTAAAGCAAAAGCTTCCAAAGGGAAAAATAGTTAAGGTGGACTTCATCAATATTAAAAGCTTTTGTTCTTCAAAGGACACTATCAAGAAAGTGCAGACAACCCAAATAATGGAAAAAATACTTGCAAATCATATATTTAATTAAGGGCTAGTATATAGAATATATAAAGAACACTTACAACTCAACAATAAAAAGAAAGATATCCCAATTTAAAAATGAGCAAACGATTTGAACATGTTCCCCACAGAAGATATACAAATGGCTAATATACACATGAAAAGATGGTCAACACCATTAGTCACTAGGAAAATGTAAATCAAAATTACAAAGAGATACCAATTTATAGCCTCTTGATGTATGATGAAAATGACAGAAGATGTGTTGGCAAGGATATGAGGAAATTGGAACCCTCACATGTTGTAAGTAGGAATGTAAAGTAACCCAGCCACTTCGGAAAATGGTTGACATTTCTTCAAAAGATTAAACATAGAGTTACTAATATATGACCCAGCAACTCCACTCCTAGGTATATATGCACAAGAGAATTAAAAACATATGCCCACACAAAAACTTGTACATAAATGTTTGTAGGAGCATTATTCATAATAGCCAAGAAGTGGAAACAATCCAAATGTCCAGCTCCTTAATGGATAAAAAATGTGGTATTTCCATCCAATGGATTATTAAACTCTAAAAAGGAATGAAGTACTGGTAGATGCTACAACATGGAGGAATCCTGAAAACAATGCTAAGCAAAAAGAAGCCAGGCATAAAAGGATACATATAATATGACTTAACCTATATGAAATATCCAGAATAGGAAAATTTAATAGACAGAAAGTGGTTGCCAAAGACCGGGGGGGTGGGGAAGAGAGAATGGGAAGTGACTGCTGATTGGCTTGGAGTGATAGAACTGTTCTGGCATTATTAAGTAGTGATAGTTTCATAATCTTGTGAATATACTGAAAAACAACACTGAATTGAATTTTACAGTTTGTGACTTATATCTCACTAAATTTTTTTCTTTTTATAATATTCTGTGTAGGCAAGTTGGAACAGTATGAAGAATGGAGCAGAACTTGAGTATTATATCTTGTTTAGAGTCCAGGCTTTGGGAGAGTTTTAACCTATCTGAGCTTTAGTCTCCACTTCTAAAAATTGGGGCATTAATACTAATCTTACATACTTTTTATGTATTCTAAGTAAGAAATATTTGTAAGCTGTTTAGGGGGGTGGGGTGAGTCAGACACATAGGTTTATAACATGCTAATTTATTTCCTCCCTCCCTTCTTTTCCTTCCCTCCTTCCTTCCTTAATTTGTACGAGGTTCTAACAGGATCTTGGGTGATGCCTTAAAATAGCAAGGGTTGAACAGTTGCTCTGAGTAAACCAAGTTGGAACTGAATGTCAGACTAATTGGATGAAAAAGGGGCACTGTAATAATTCTAGTCTAAACTAACCTCACAGTATGATATGATCGTAAATTCCTAGCTGGGCAGGTCATTATGGGTAGTCACACCCCAAGCAAATAACTTTTTAGTAAAAGGTTTATCTTTACCTTAAGCAAGCCCTGTCCATTGTTTTTGAGCATCTAGGTCAACACACCTTTGAAATGCCTCTTTTTCAGACCCCTCGAAGTGTAACCACTCTTAAGAGAGCACATAATCCTGATAACTATCCTGTAACCAGCCCCCTCCATTCTTTATCCTGCCCTCATGTAATCACCCTTATGTTCTCTCCTTAATTCCAAGAGTATAAGAGAAACCAAAACTTATTCTCTGGAGCATTTGAGATTCCCCCCCAGCATTGTTACCAGTTTTGGCTCAAATAAATTATTTAAAAATTTATTTATTTATTTATTTTTAGA